GAAAGTCCACTTGGAACTTCTTGAGGAAATAAATCATCAAATTCTTTTAAAAGTTTTTGAACCTAATGAGGTAAAAACTCAAGTTCAAGGCTAGTGGCAGCTAGTGTCTCTTTCAAGTAGAGAAGGTATAAAGGTTGTTCACACAAAAGGGTTTTCTTGATATCATTCTTAAGTGACAAATGACTTTTGTGCACAACTTCCTTAGAGGAGACACTAGCCTCTAAGCTTGATACCTTATCCTCCCTCTCTTCATTCAAGGGAAGGTTTTTCTTTGGTTTTTGTTTTTTTTTCTATTCTTCTCTCTTGGCTTTCATTTTTATTTAGTCCTCTCTCACTTGTGAAGGTGATAGAGGACACAAAACAATTTTCTTGCCCAAATGATGGAAACTTATCTTATTAGTGAGGCCTTCATGAATAGTTTTTTATGGAAAATTTGGTGGAGAATCCGGATTAATGTTGATTCCTCTTCAAGTTCCTCCCTAAACCTTTGGCTCCTTGATTCTTCTTAAGCTTCTCCAAGGTCTCCAATGGAGGAAGAGACCTTGGAAGCACCACGTTTTGGTAGAAAACTCTCTCAAGAGATGCCACTCCTTGAAGAAGAAATAAGTCTCTAGTTGTGAGAGTAGTTATGCCTATGAGTGGAGTTTTGACGAGCTGAAGAGGAGGTTGACTACTTCTCCTGTGCTGGTGTTACCAGATTCTGGTGAACCCTTTGATATGTACTGTGATGCTTCTCACCAGGGTCTAGGGTGCGTGCTGATGCAAAACAGGAAAGTGGTGGCATATGCTTCAAGGCAACTGAAGAACCACGAGAGGAATTATCCCACTCATTACTTGGAGTTGGCAGCTGTTGTGTTTTCCATGAAGATATGGAGGCATTATTTGTATGGTGCTCGGTTCCGTGTCTTCAGTGATCACAAGAGTCTGAAGTACTTGTTTGATCAGAAGGAGATGAACATGAGGCAGAGGCGGTGGATGGAGTTTCTGAAGCATTATGACTTCCAGTTGATGTATCATCCTAGGAAGGCCAATGTTGTGGCGGATGCGCTGAGTAGGAAATCCATCCACATGTCTACTATGATGGTGAGGGAGCTAGAGCTGGTGGAGAAGTTCAGGGATTTGAATCTTTGTGTGGAGTTAGCTCAGAATCACATTAGTTGTGGGATGATTACCATAACTAGTGAGTTCTTGAGGCAGGTTGGACTTAAGCAGTTACAAGATGTTGAGCTGGTGAAGCTTCTTGGTTTGCTGGGAACTGAGAAGGCTGTTGGTTTTGAGCTGGGTGGAGATGGAATCTTGAGGTTCAAGGGTAGAATTTGCCTACCTCGGGATGCTGAGCTGAAGAGAGATGTGTTGGAGGAAGGCCACAAGAGTAGACTTAGCATACATCCTGGTATGACTAAGATGTACCAAAACCTCAAGAAGACTTTCTGGTGGTCTGGTATGAAGAGGGAGATAGCTGAATATGTAGCGGCCTGTCTGACCTGTTAGAAGGCGAAGGTGGAGCATCAGAAGCCGAGTGGATTGATGCAGCAGATGGAGATTCCGGAATGGAAGTGGGATAGTATCACTATGGACTTCATCGTCGGGTTGCCTAGGTCGGCTAGGAATAGTGATGCTATCTGGGTGATAGTTGATCCATTGACCAAGTGATGGAAGAACTTTGGAGGAGGCCGGATTGATGTAGCTTCCTTCAAGTCTTTCCCTAGATCTTTGTACTCCTAGAATCCTTCCAATGCTTGTGTAAGGCTCCAATGGAGGAAGGAACCTCACGGCCACCTTAAGATGGTGGGGGAAACCTCTCAAGAATGCGCCACTCTTGGTGAAGGGATAAGCACTCTTCAATCCGCCACACTTGTCTTTGGAAAAGTGATAAGAGAT